AGGATACAGGAAAGTTCCCAAGACGGAAACTTAAGAAAGTGATGTAATGGCGATAATAATAAAGGAATATATTTTGCCAGTAGTCTATTGCTTTGAGGTATATTTTTTAGAAGATATTTCTGCATGCTCATGCCGTTACAGAAAGTTACCTGTATGCAAGAGCCAAAGGACCTAAAATTTGAATGACGCTAACTTAGCTACTTCAGCTTTATTTTCAAAAACAAAAACTAAAAAGCAGTGTATATTGATTTACATCATGCCCTAAAAGTTGGGACTTTCCTTTTTAGAAATAACTACGTTTGAAATGACAAAAAAATGGCAAAAACATAAAAACGATGGAAAATATGCTCGTACACATTCGATAAGTCATTTCAAGTACTGTCACTTGTTTTGCTTATTAAGTGACTGTATGGAGGTTGTATCATACTAGTAAGTTATAGTTTCGGCCTTTACTACCATTTTTTCTTGTTTTGGTTTAACAAGACATCTACACTATTTTTAAACCAGACAAATCAAAAACAAAACAGTGAACCATTTGAAACAGTATTTGATATATCACTTGACCAAGAGCAGAGCATATTTTGGACATTATGAAAAAAATGAGTACCGACCCGGCAGCGCTCAAAGTGATCACATGTAAGTTCAGCAGAAAATAAAGTATCGCTACAGTAGCGTTGTGTAGGTGTCGCGTTTCATAGTTGACCATATCTCTTCACGTTAACATGAGTGAAGTCATTGACAGCTGATTGGTGTTTTAAACTAGATTCCGTTTCTAGTTAATTTCTCTTCTGCTTATTGATTCATACCTAAAATAAATATTGTGGGGTGTTCCGTCTTTCATGTTCTTCATTATTCCATTCATACATTTTTCATACACATTTTCCATCTTCACTAACAGCATTAGATATTTCCCACATTGTAATATTTTTTATTCAGTTCTATAAGCTAATACGAAATCTGATTTCTCTACTGATTGATTTTTTATACACCTTGTATTACATTTACAGTTAGCAGGTATATCTGTCTTAAGAGAGCTCATTTGTAAATGTTGGCGATAATATAAAAGAAGAACGACATGTAGGTTGGTCTTGGTCTCTGATATGTATCGCTAAATCGCTATATGTATAAGTATAAGTATAACCATTGCGCGTCTGATTTAACAGTGTAATCAATTATAATGTATTTCATATCAATACACACGCCACCGTTTAAGGAGATAGTGCTAAATGCCCTGATTTACATTGACGTATAGGTCGAATCAGTGTAAGAAATAATGTAATATGACATTAGACAAGGCGAAAACGGCAGCTCCACTGGTAGGTGGAGTATGGAATAAGGCTACCTATTCTAACAAATTCGATTAGATTATATGTTTACATCGTTTTCTCTGTCGCCAAAATTGTGTATAGTCCCCCACGTTTGTCTGGCCAATTTTAAATTCATCTTCTTCTTTAATGTAATATATACGGAGTGACTAAAAATGTAAACACATACGTATGTTTATCCGATTTTCATAATTTTTGGCATATATCTTCCGTGTCCTTTTATTACTACTATTAAAATGTGTTGATTATCCACGATTTCTTATACACTCATTGACACGCCTGGGCATTGAGCTGATAAGGTGGTCGATATCCTGTTGGGGCATCTCATTCCAGACTACTGCAACTTCGTGAGTAAGAGGTGCTAAATTCTCTGGAGGGCGTTGCGAATGCAAGAGCCTGCGACCTATCATGTCCCAGACATGTTCAATTGGAGATAGGTCCGACGATAGTGGTGGCCAAGGTAAACGGTTGATGGCATGTTGATCCATGAAGGCTAACGATGCTTTGGAAACATGCGGTCCGGGGTTGTCTTGCTGAAAAATATAGTTTTGGATGGTGTTTAGGTATGGAATAAGATGAGGCTAAACTACTTCCTGAATATAGCATCGGGCCTTTGATGAAAATTAGTGGTGATCTGCTACCATAAGCAAGTGTGTACTTTGTACTACTCTGTAACAATTTTAGCGTTCGTAATTGTTTGAGGTACCTGTTACCTGCATTTGGAAATAGGACTGAGTAATTCTTCTGAAATGCCAAGAGTGTGCTTTTCTTCCCGAGCACCAAACCTTGGGAATAAGACTTCTCTCATTTGTCATTCTCATGCTTCATTGTTTGTTTATTTTATTTGGTTATCAAAAACTGCTCAAAAATGGTAGAATGTACATTTTTCAATCTAAATGCTACCCCGTATCCCTAGGGTCTCTTATAATAATTACAATGGTCGCAAAAAACGTGGTTATAAATTCATTATTATTGCATGACTCTATAATAATTTTGGCGTTCTAAAAATAAAGTTCCCCAGTATTCCAGAGTAAAATTTCATCTGTCAATCTACATTGCATTACCATTTACTGTATTACATCTTAAAGTGATTTAAAAACGCACCTCTGAATGCTTCTTTATCACCAACAACCTGAACATTTTATCACTTGTTGTTCATGGCAAGATAAATCGTCATGTAAAAAAATTCTTGAATTCTAATAAACATACGTAGGTGTTTACCTTTCTTTGTCACTCAGTATACGTTTCGGTCACAACGGTGACCTTTTTCAGCACATGAAAAGTGTCAACTTTTGACTATTTTATTTATCTGTCTTCCAGTTGTCACTCCGTTTGTTCTACTATTCGTCATTTGTTTGTCTGGGCGGTCCGTAGGACCTTTGCCCATTAGTCACTGCCTAATGTACGTTAGTCGACTCTGTCAGTACTGGTTGCCCAGAAACCAGACAATGTCAAGGAAAAAGAGAAAGGGAAGGAGAAGCAAAAAGGAGAAGAGCAAAGACAAACAGAAGTGTTTAGTTTAGGATTTTTGACTTGGTACACGGATTAATTTTGAGGTGAACTAAACAAAGTTTGATTCGGTTTTGTTAGAGTGTAATTTTAAGTTTACTGAAAGTTCGCGCTAATTTTGATTACAGTGAGAGCCGTGGCCTTGAATGTTTACGAACTTGCTCCACTGTGAGGTCCACTGAGTCAAGCAACAGAGGGTTGCTGTGCGATTCCGCTTGACTATAACGTCGCTGCGCCTGAAGCTTGACATAATCCCTCAAGTGGGGAATGTCAAGGTTTCTGTGTAGTGTCTCGTTTGAGACATACCATGGAGCGTTGCAAATTGCTTTGCAGCACTTCAAAACTTTGCATGTGTGTCTTGGCAAGAAATCACCAAGCCGCACATGCATAAGTAATGGCTGTTCTAATAATCATTTTATATAGGCGAACTTTGTTTATCAAACTCAATTTGGAGGATCTATATAACAAAGGATATAGTTGTCGAAACGCAATTTGAAATTTTGTTTTTATGGATGCTGCATATTTCTGCCAGGTCATGCCTTTATCAAGGGTGATACCGAGATACTTGGCAGAATTTGTCCATGGTACACGATTTCCGTCTACAGAAACCTCTGCTGGGGGGCCGCGACGTTTTTTGGTACAATAAATAGCCTGCGTTTTCGAATGATAAGCCACTGTTCCGCCCACTCTAGAACTTCATCCACCGCATTCTGCAACCCATCGTGAACCAGATCACCAGTACACGACTGGGCGACAAGTGCACTGTCGTCAGCATAGAAGTAGACTTCACAGTTACTGGGGCAAGGGACATCATGGACGAAAGCGAATAAAGAATTGGTCCTAGGACCGAACCCTGAGGAACACCGGCCCGTACTGTTGTTGACAAAACATTGTTAATTTTGATCCGAAACTTCCTTCCTTCAAGAAAGGATTTCAGTAATTATATCTCACGTCCATTCCGAAGATGTATTTAACTAAGGTAGTACGCCCATGCGTACTGCGCGCCACACATTTTTAAGATGAATAGTAGCGCGAGCGCGGATATGTTCTTCTCGCTCGCCGCCGTCCGCTGTAACTGCCTCCCCGTTTCATTCGCTTTTATGTGTGCGTCGCGTCCACACGTGTAGTTTTCAGTGCCCGGCTCCGCAACAGACGAAAAACCAATAGTACAGGTATGATAGTATTATTTTGCTATTCACGACATTCATAGAATGTTCTGTTACATCAGGATAATACGAAATAATGATATTTTTATTGGCACAGTCCCAGATTTTTCTTTTGCATTTTCTCAATTTCACGAACAAGGCTTCCTAGTTTATTTGCTGTGCATTTAATGTTAATTCGAGAAAGTGAACTATTATATACTAATCACGTTAAAATCGTTCTGGTGAGCAACTATTTCTCCACAGGGCTTGTTTTACAGCATGGGGAAACGCAAGAGAAGCCGATCCAGCGACAAACTATCGCGTAGAGACTTACAAAAAACAATTAATGAGCTTCGCGATAGACTAAACAGGCAGGAGCGAGATCGTAGGTCCCATTCACGTCGGCACAGTCGAAGCATTTCTCCGAGGAGGCCCCGCTCTAGTTCGCGCAGTCGATCCTTAGTACAGGACCGTACTTCGATAAAAAGAAGGGGGGTGCCAGATTCGGAGGATCGTAACCACAATTATACGACTCGGAAACGTCGAACTTTGGACAAACCGACTTCCGAATATCAATACTCTAGGAATTCATCGAGAGAACGTCGGGTTTCGCACAGCCCAACTTCCAATCGATACCAAAATCCTAGAAATACATCGAGAGAGCGTCGGGTTTTGAACAGCCCGACTTCTTCACGATTTTCAAAAGAAAAAATAGACCGACGTAGCATGAGCCGAGCCTCGTACGACTCGGCGAGTGTCACCAGTGGTAGAAGCCCGGCATCGAACTGTCCGGCTATAAACCAAGACCATCCGGAACTGGATGACCTAGATACACTCGTACTCCAAGACGACATAAATTTACAAGCTGAAAACACTGAGAATGAGGCGGAGCAACTTCCAGAGTGCATTAAAGAGGTATTAGGCATTGACACTGACAGAAACAAAACAGTCCTATCATCTCAATGATGCTATAAGACAAGTTTGGTCACAAACAATAGCCCAAGGCATAGGAACGGAAAATATGGATCAAATTTTGGATCGCCATAGGCCTCCCAATAATTTTCCTACTCTTGATCCTCCAAAAGTCAACCCGGAAGTTGCTCACATTCTTTCTCAAGCATATGTTAAGAGGGACCAATGCCATGCAAGATATCAGCTATTGGTGGGAAAAAGTACAAGTGCGCTTGGCAAATGCATGAATTATGTCATCAATGAAATCAAGAATAATGTTGATTCTGATTTAAAAATGCACTTGCTACCACATCTAGCAGATGTGGGCACATTCATGACCCAGCTATTCCATGAGATCTCGACGACCCGTAGGGAATATATTTCACAACTTCTCTCCAAATCGGTGAAAGATACCATCAAAGAGACTATTCCGGGGGAATATCTATACGGCACCGATTTGGCAGAAAAGATTAAAATGGCAAAAATTGCAGAAAAAGCTGGGAACGACTTAAGACAAGACGGTTATAGCAACAAGGCAGGGCCATCCGGCATCAGAAGAGGGGGGGGCACACCTCTCAGCGCCAGCATGGTACCTCCAAAACTGCATACAATGCTCGTACTCCATATAAAGCGACTAGCTACCGCCCGTCTTTAAACAGGCAACGCCCGCCTCGCCAGTCAGGGAGGGACTCGGGGCCGAGGAAAGGGCAAACCTCCAAGCAAAGTCGCCCCCCAGGGAGCAGATACCAATAAAGGTAAGTCATTCTAAGCTAGCGGGCAGACTATCCCATTTTGTCGAGTCTTGGAAATGTATAACGAACAATTCCACAGTTCTATCCTGGATTAAGGGATATAAGCTCCCTCTCTTAGCAACACCTGTTCAGAAACAGAATCAAACTGCCCACACTCAGTGCGACCCTATGATTGCCTTGGCAATCAGGGAGCTACTAGATATCGGAGCAGTATCATCATGTACGGAGAGGAAAGACCAGTACGTTTCAACTTACTTCCTAACTGAAAAATCCAACGGAAAGAAACGGTTCATTTTAAATTTGAAAAAATTTAATGAATTCGTGAAATACGAGCATTTCAAAATGGAAGATTTTCGGACAGTACTAAAACTATTGCAAAAGCAATACTGGATGGCAACCATCGATCTAAAAGACGCATACTTCCTAATATCAATAGACAAATCATTTAGGAAGTATTTGAGGTTCAGGTTTAATTCTAATACATTTGAATTCAATTGCTTACCATTTGGTCTCTCGTCAGCACCGTACTGTTTCACAAAAATAATGCGACCCGTCCTGGAAAACCTGCGTACTCAAGGGATTCTGTTGGTCAACTATTTAGACGATTTCCTAGTCATCAGTGACTCGTCTGAAAAATGTAGGGAACACACAAAAATTGTGGTAAACACATTACAGTCCATAGGTTTCATCATAAACTTTGAAAAAAGTTCGTTGACCCCAGAACAGAGAAAAATATTTTTAGGATTTCAATACGACACCAAAAATATGAAAATATCCCTACCGTCGGAAAAGAAAACGTCCATTAAAAACATGTCAACGTCTTTCCGAAAAAGGGATACATGCAGTATAAGAGAACTTGCACAGTTCATAGGCACCTTAACCGCAGCCTGCCCCGCGGTTAAGTACGGCTGGTTGTACACCAAGCGTTTGGAACAACTAAAGTGCTCAGCTCTAGAAGCGAACAACTACAACTATAATTGTATAGTAGTCTTACCACATAACTTTATAGATAATGACCTAATCTGGTGGGAGCGAAACATCTTAAATGCGGAAGCCGATATTAAACAGACAGGCTATAGTATGACAATATTCACAGATGCCTCACTGACTGGGTGGGGTGCATGTAGAGGACACGACAAAACCCATGGGTTTTGGTCCAATCCAGAAAAAGATAATCATATAAATTACTTAGAACTTACAGCTATTCTTTATGGCTTAAAATGTTTCGCCCGGGATGCAAGGAACTGCAGTATTCTGATTAGATCAGATAACACGACGGCAATATCTTGCATCAACCGTTTGGGCAGTATACAATCTACCAAGCTCAACAACAGAACGCGAGACATCTGGGAATGGTGTCAAGCCAGAAATATTTGGGTATTCGCTTCATACGTCAACACAAAGGACAATCTGGACGCAGACAGGGAGTCCAGAGTAGTCTCAACCGAAACAGAATGGTCTCTGGCAGATTCAGCATTCGATGTTTTAAAACACGAATTCGGATCTCCTGACGTTGACCTTTTTTCCTCAAAAATAAATCACAAATGTCGACGATATGTATCATGGAGGAAAGATCCGGATTCGGTCGCAGTTGATGCATTTACTATTAGCTGGACCGATATTTATTTTTATGCATTCCCCCCATTTTGCTTAATATTGAAGGCGTTACAAAAAATTATCCAGGATAAAGCTGAGGGAATTGTAGTAGTACCAGACTGGCGTGCCCAGGCATGGTATCCGCTTGTAGAGAAACTACAAGTTGGAAGATCTGTTACTTTTGGACCTGACGATAATCTTCTGACTTCTCCTTTCAGTTCAACCCACCCTCTGGCCAACAGATTAACATTAGTGGCCGCGAAATTATCCGGCAGGGGTTTCAACTGAGAGGAATATCGGATGAGGCGGTAGAGACCATAATCGATTCAATATCGACAGCTACGATCAGCCAGTATGCGTGTACTTACCGTCTATGGTATAAGTACTGTGAAGAGAAGCAGATACCAGTATTTCAGGCAAACGTCCTGCAGGTAATAGAATTCCTTCAGAACATTATCAATACAACTGAACTAAATTATGGAAGTTTAAACAGCCACAGATCTGCGATCTCCCTTATATCCTCCGATAGCCTAGGTTCACACCCCCTGATAAAACGGTTCATGAAAGGGGTAGCCAGAAGACGACCAATGAACCCCAGGTATAGGTTCACGTGGAATCCTCAACCAGTTCTTACAGCATTAGGAAATCTCCCTAACAACCAACTTAAAAGCCTCACCCACAAACTGGTGACCCTACTTTCACTGGTAACAGGTGGCCGCCTTCAAACGATCTCTTTAATCCGGGTATCAAACATTCACAGAGACGAATCCAGATTACAAATAATGATTACGGACCCAGTAAAGACGTCACTTAGCCTCAATGATCAGCCTTTTCTGAGTCTCCCGTTCTTCACACCAAATCCCAGCATATGCCCAGCCTCAACAGTGCTGCAGTACTTAGAGTCAACGAAAGAAATCCGAAATAATGAAGATTTGTTATTTTTAACTTATGTAAAACCCCATAAAAAAGCAACAAAGCAAACCCTTGCCCGTTGGGTAAAACAGACACTTATGTCATCGGGAGTAAATACGACTGTATTTAAACCTCATTCAACTAGGCACGCAGCAACGTCAGCAGTCCGTAGGGCAGGGCTGTCGGTAGACACTATTTGTAAAACTGCAGGCTGGTCTCAGAAGACGGCAACCTTTGCAAGGTTCTACGACCGACCACTACAAGCGGATGATGACTTTGCAAACACGATACTCTCAACGAGTATAAATTAGAATATTTTCACCTTATTTTACTTTTGCTATGATAGCAGTTTTGCTCAACTTATTTCGTATATAAAACATCAATGCATATGTTTGTGGTTTGTATCTTTGAACATCTACCTTAGTTAAATACATCTTCGGAATGGACGTGAGATATAATTTAACGATCAAACGAACTTACCTGAAGTTCGATCGTAATTATATCGATCGTCCATTCCGAAGATGTAGAAACCCCCCCTCCCTGAAATGCAGTGGCTTTTCACCCTGCTCATATGCATTGAAAAACAATCTTTGAAGGAATGAAACGGGGAGGCAGTTACAGCGGACGGCGGCGAGCGAGAAGAACATATCCGCGCTCGCGCTACTATTCATCTTAAAAATGTGTGGCGCGCAGTACGCATGGGCGTACTACCTTAGTTAAATACATCTTCGGAATGGACGATCGATATAATTACGATCGAACTTCAGGTAAGTTCGTTTGATCGTTAAATTATAGAAGCCAAAAAGGAAAACCCTTTTGGATTAGTTTATAGAGGAGGCCCGCGTGCCACACCTTAACAAAGGCTTCTGACACATCCAAATGCAAGGTGCCACTACTCATGCTGAGGGTGAACCCTCTGGTAATATGTTTCACCAGCCTGACTGCCTGTAGCTCGGTACTATGCTCGAATCGAAAACCGAATTGGACGTCAGGAATCACATGGTGATTTGACGAAAAATTCTCAAGGTGACGATAAATCACCTTTTCGGCGAGCTTAGAAGGAGCTGACGGTATTCCTCAGCAAATATCGAACCCACCGTCTTTGGAATCATGATGACCTCAGCAGTCTTCTACGCGGGAAGTACTGGATTCTGAGCGTCGCATTGATTATTGTCACCAAATATGTCAGGGCTTTCGGCGATAGCAGCTTCAACGCCTCCGCTGGTGTGCAATGTGGAAACTCGGAGGGTTCCGCTAATGTGCTATGTGGAGCCTCAGGATTCAGTGCCTCCGCTAACGCCGTTGGCCCTAAAATATCTCCTGACGGATCGTACGATGTGCTGTTCCTCGTCGAGGTCATTATCGAGATCATAGTTGGGAGAGAACTGTTTTTCCATGGTATCAGCGAAAACCTCGTTCTGAAGACTATGCCTCCAGGACCGTGGATGTGCGGGAGCTGTTCTCGCTTTCCGTGACTTTCCGACCCTCCAGAGAGGAATACTAGAATCGAGCATTCCCGCAAGTCGCTACATTACTCGTTGCGGAGTTCGTGCATTGCGTTTCTCACTTCATGGACAAGATTTGTAGCCCTACGAATGTCCGTTTGTTCTTTATTCCATTGTAAGATTCCTATATAGTGTGTTACTACAGTAGTCTGAAAGTTCCGTAACATGCCATTGTAGCGCGAAGCCATCATTCCAAATTTTAAGATGGTGGAGCCATCGACATGAAAACCACATAATAAGTTTCAGATGTTACATTAACCAAAATTGTGGAGTTTTAGTGCATACTTTTTGCTAATGTGCCTGCGATTGCATACCAAAATGGCAAACCAATACATCGGTGTAAATTAGTTACTTTGTAAAAGATATTCAAGTAGCTATTGGTACTGACTGTTGACACGTAGAGCAAGGCAGAAATACTGTATGTGTTGCAATGTGAATCGCTCTGTTACTGTTAATAAATGGGAATAAATTAAATAAGGGCTAATTCGCGATTTTGGAAGGTGAACAATACGAAACATTCTTTCTATCAAACAGCGACAATGACGGATATTGGATGTAGCGGGATACCTTGCATGAATTCTACTCGGTTGTTCTAACTTGTCGTGATCCAGGCAGATTCCAGAATAAAGGGAAACACCTAGTTGAACATATTATGGAAACTCTTGCTATTACATAATCGTTACTATAGTTATCCAATAGAAATACTTAATTTGTTATTCGTAGTTCCTTTTGATCGTATGATCGTAAATTTACTACTTATAACGTGAAAGTACTTTTCCTGATAGCTTTTAAATTCAAAATCAAAGTAGATAAAGTAAAATTTGAACTTAGTTTAGTTAGATAAAGGTTTAAAAAATTTGCATTTTCAATGTTGTTATTAGGTGTGCAATTCTGTCAACAAACGTTAGACTGGAATTGAATGATCAAAGGAATATGAAGCGAAATGTAATAAATTAAAATTGCCTCACACCTGTCGAGGTTAAAGCCCAATGTTGAGGTACATGCACTAAAGGTTTGCTCTCATTCATTTCAAACCGCTTTTTGCAATCCACAGAAACCCTTATCATTTTCGGCAACTGTATGGACCACTATTACAGGATTGTATGGACTCCACGCACTTTTATGTTTCATGGTCAATAGTATTTTCCAGCATATCCAAATACAGTTCCCCGGTCAAAGTTTGTTCGATGAATAGAGGCCCCACAATATGATTTCCCAATATCCCAGCCCAAACGTTAATTTTTTGTGGATATTGAGTTTCCCGGAAGACGTGAGGAATGGTGTCACTCCAATAACGACAATTTTGTCTATGCACATTACCATTGAGAAAAAAATGTACATTCGTCACTAAAACAAATATTTTGGATATAGGTAGGATGCCGTGCAATGGTTTCCGTCATAGTCTCGCAGAACTCTGTTCTTCGATCAGGGTCATCTTCATTTAGCTGATGTACCATTTGAATTTTCTATGGGTGATATTTATTCTTTTTCAATAGTCTCCATACAGTAGAAGGACAAACCTCAGTAGCTGTAAATTTAGATATAAGTTCCCTTAAATATTTTCTACAGATAGGGCGATTCGAGAAACGATCATTGAAAATCCTTTCGGTCTCGTGAAAGTTACGCGTCGCACAAGAAATAAAAATCGCTTCGATTTTTTTTTCCAATGGACGAGAATTGACCATTTTAAAAATAGTTCAAACAGTATCTAACACTAGAACCGAAAACTAAATAAGAATATTTTTAACTATACAATGATGTTTGTTTTCGTACTGATATTCTTGTCACTGTTAACAAAAAATAACAAAACAAGTTTTTATTGCTGTTGCTGTGAATACGGCAGGGAATTACAATTATTTGTAGAGATATGCATGTTAGTGGGTTTGTGTTCAAGTAATTTTTAAATGTACCACCATTTTTTGGTATATTATATTCTAGGGTTATAAGGTACTCGTCAGAAGCTTCAAAATGATGTGCTACAAGACACCCGTTTCCATATAATTTTCTTTCCATGGCCATCTTGACATTTTCATCTGTAAATTTTTCTCTAAAATATGGTATCCACGCATCAATTTCATTACTTTCAAGTTTTACTTTTTTGAATTAATCCGTTCAAAAAATCAAAGGGGAGTGGGACATAAAAGATATGACCTTGCACCCTGACTACTGATCATGTAATTTCGGCTAAAAACAAATCGTGCACTTGATCCTTCTACGTAGTCCTATTTCATTGAACTATTCCATTAAATATATTCGTATCTCTTTTCTATCACTCACATTTGCCCTCAGACCGCGAGACACGCATAGAAATTGGGAAGCTATCTCGCCCTTCTCCTCCACTAGTGATACTTGTGCCCTGTTAGACTTTTTATACTTAGATGGATAAATAATAGTTTTAAAAGACTAAAAAGCACGCTTTTATAGCTAATCGAACCAAACAGTAGTAAATCATGTTTAATTACAAAGAGTTTATATTACAGTAGTTGATGGTCGAACATTCAATCATAATTAATGACCTCAAAATAAAATTATAATAAAATTTATGTTATTAACACAATAATTCAATTCAGAGTAATTTATTTTGAGGTCATTAATTATGATTGTGAGTTAGTAGTTAGACCATCTACTACTGTAATATAAACTCTTTGTAATAAAAAATTACTTTTTACTTTTTAGTTCGCTTAGCTATAAAAGCGTGTTTTTTTCGTTTTTCAAGCTATTATTTATTTTTCATTTTTTAGTTCGATTTATCAATTAGTTTTTTGTAGACCTGTGGTATTGCAATGTCTTACGAATCAATTCGTAATCTAATAATTTCATTTAAAGCTTACGATCTTACACGACTAAGTGATAAATAAGCTTGTCCAGCAGTAAACAGCCGCGGGCCTAGATAAATGACTGCATGATTGAACTCTACAACCTGGAAAAAGTATATGCCTCCGTCGTGTTGTGTCGAGTCCCCGAACCATCAAAGAGTAGGTCCGAAACTGCACGCATGCGCAGATCGCGCGCCAGCTCTATCTCTCTTACTACTCACAAAAAATAATGTATCAATCCTGGCGGTCCTAATAAGGATAATAAAAAACTGTTATACATACATACAGGCCAAACTAATAAAAGCGTATTAAAAAAAATAAGAAATATTGATACCACAATCTGCCTCCTGTGAGAATTGAAGTCACGACACCTGGCTTACAAGCCCAGTGTTCTGCCACTGAGCTACAGAGGCTTGTAGTTTCAGTACTCGTAAAGCCGCATTTGAAATCCATTGCTCTTTATTAACATATCTCCTTCTACAGAATTTGACTTATGAATAAGGATAATGGAAAACTGTTATCAAATTATTCCATTGTTATAGGTCCTTGATACATGTGCGAAGTTACAAATTAATCAAACATCTCTTAATTGGTGAAAATTATGCTCAAAGATTCCATTACATACATACATAAATACATATACAGGCCAAGCTGATAAAAGCGTTTTAAAAATGATTTATGACCAGATTGCTCATTGGAAACTGATATATTAATAGAGAACTTTAATTTGGCTACTTGATGATCTTAAATATAAAGAAATATACACAGTTTGGACATGACTAGCTTTATAGAGAACTTAGTGGGAGCCTCGATCTCAGAAGGAGCGAAAGAGTCTGAGAAAATATGAAGATTGTTTGATTGCAATTATCAAGTGTAACATACTGGTCCTTGTTCGGAGGTGGTTATGGGAAAAATCAATACTAATTGTATTTCAATATAAACCACTGTTGGTACTCAGGAATTTCATGACTTCTGTTTTTCGCTACCTTTGTTTGATTTTCAGTATCAACTCTAGTATTAATCACCTCCGTATAAGGTCTTTCCATTTGTATAGTCTAACCAGCTGCGTTACATTTAGATAAGGCGACTTTCACTACTTTTCAATAAAGGTAATCTATAATACAAATCAGCAGCGCTTTCAAGATATAGGTACGTATTGGGCATACAGAATCACCTGATAAAATAGTTTTGAAATCATCATTGGGAAAAGTGCACGAAATGTCAAAAGTAAAAACTTTGTTAAATCCAAATACACAACCTTAATTTCCTTAAAGATAATTTACAATTGTAATGAAATTATCAATTCTACTTACAACTAATTTTAAACTACAATTTTTAACAAATTGTTGTACAACCCTGGGACCGTTAAAGTGCTAAATCTATAAAATATTATTTGCAACTCTCTGTCGGTGATATTCCCAACCCCAGAAACATATCCCATATCTTAAATTAAATCCACATTAGCAACATGAACTTGTATCAGTTGCACAGTTGTTAAGATGGTTTTCAATTGCCTTAACACAGCTCTGAGAGTTTACCTTCGATATAAGAAATTTGCAGTGGGCTTTCCAATTTAGGTTCGAAATGTAGTCCAAGAAATGGAGTTAATTTTTCAGCAATTAGATTCATTTTGTGTCAAGCATGCAATAGACGTTACTAGCAGCCTTCAAATATCAAACGTTTGGAGTTTATTGTATGGAACAGTTTCTCGCAAATAATTCTCATCAAAATGTTTCAAAGCATTAGCGGTTCAGTTGAGATCTGAACTGGCTAAAGGTAGTGGGACATTCAGTTGGCTGGGTTAGAATGGGGAGCACCGAATTATCGACTACACATCTCGAGGTTTGGGTCGCGGAGATAAGCTGAGAGGAATGAGTTATATTGATATATCGGTAAAAGATTACGATTACAACTCATCCAATCCTGCCCATATGAAACAGTCTTGAGACAGTAACCACTACTATGAGATTGCGAACTTGCTGCCCCTATTTGAGGTCGCGTGTCCCTTTTTTTCAGCTTCCTGTTTGGAGCGGTATTCTAATTACCTTTCATCTGACTATTTCATGGTGTGTATGGAGATGAGTGAAAAACAATCAATTTTTCCATTTTTGTGCATCTTTTCTTCAATCGTAACTTGTTAACAAATATTAGTACCGTTCTTATATTATATGTCAAAATTACAGTTTTATAGTAAAATTAAGGGGTGATTACTTTCATTCTTATTACTTTTTCTCTTTGAAAAATATTTGCTGCTAAATTCTACTATAAAAGTGGAATTTTGACATACAATTTAAGAGCTGTACTAATATTTGTTAACAAGCTACGATTGACAAAAAAATACAAAAAATACATTTTTTCAAAAGAGAAACTGATACCATTGTATTTCAGTCATCTATATACACATCATGGAACGCTCAGGACACTCCTCCAGACAATCTGTTGAAAAAAAGGGATATGCGACGCTGATTACTCTGTAAACTTTTTGAGATACTTTATTGATTACACGTACGGTTTTGATGAAAATATACATCATCCAAGTCATATTGGTTTTGTTAAGACATATGTCTGGAATACCCTCTACCACCGATGTTGTATACTAAGCATAAGCATTTCTACTGCTGAATCACGTCAAGGTGGATTATATCGCGATCAAGAGAGATGTTATTTACGTAACTAGAACCTTTATGCCAATGTAGAAAAGTTGTTCAATTTCGAGATTGTTATCAATAACAAGCATCTAGTAGTCTGGTAATGCGCGCCCGTGAATCGAATAACTATCGACCTAGTTTCCGGATACTATATTTTTTATTTTACCTTAGGGTAGCCATACAATGTTATCCATTGTTGTGTGTCTTACATAATAAGGAACGTGATCGTAGGGGTTATGAAGGGTTATTACTATGCTCATATAACGTGTAATTCAAATCTATTTGCCGTCCAGATCAGAAATAATCCAAAGATATTATCTACCTCATGGAGAACTGCTTAAGCAGCAGTCCAATGAGATCGGAGATAATCCAAGATCTGAGACTAACCAAGCAGATATAGTGCCATTACATAGCTGGAGTACTGATTGTTTACTGTCGTATTTCCATCGATCACACACTTTGTACTTACATAATTGCTATGATTTCATTCATTGTCCAAGAGGCCCAACCCTAGACCATACAAATAAAAACATTTAAGCGATAGTTAAAATATTTCCCTACGGAGTAAAAGGGGTTTTCTATAAATATTTTTCATACATGCCTCACAGAAAATGACACATTTTCCGTCGCTTTAATGTACCTAGGCAGTGCGTTATACAATTCTAAAAGCATAACGTTTGGTCCCATTGACGTGAGGGCAAGCCGATGCATTGCGAGCTGTAAATTCAGGCATTGCATTATGTGTCTCTCTCTCTGTTTGAATTGGTTAATATTTTTCTTAACATGAACAACACAGTTGTAAAGATGAAGGCAAAACACTGACACATACCATTATCCTTGAATAATGCGCTACATGGATATCTGTTATTTTTTACATTCTTCTTCATTCAATACAGAATGTACATGTACATATACGCAAAATAATACATTAACAGAGCGTCTGGGTTGACATATAATTCCAACTGCCATAATTTAGAACGTGTCATTAGCTTACGGAAAATATATATGCATATAATCTGTAAGAGTCTTATCAAAATGAACACCCAAGTATTTAACATGCTTGCTTTGATTAACAATGAATTCACAAGGTTCAATAAGTAAGTAAGCTAAATTCCATCTTAACTGTATTACATAATCAACTCAGTTTTCTTGTTGCTTAAAATCAAACCACCAACATTACAGTGTTATTTCATTTCAAGATTTGCATGCATACTGTATAACTGGAGCATCATCTTTAGCTTTTACAAGAAAAGCCCTAGGTATCATCAGCATATAAGGAAATATTTGGGCATTTTACAGTTAAACTATTTACCAAAAATATATTATAATACTACATTGACGATGATTTTTTTTGCATTCAGACATTTATAGATCATTTTTTTATCATGATTCCTATTAGATTAATATGACCGCAGCCAGTCATAATCACAGCCTCTAACACCATAACTGTTTAATTTACTTAATGAGGCCTAATGTGAAAGAGTACAAAAGGCTCTACTTAAGTCCAAAAAATAATGTAGATACTTTATGTTTGTTATTGAGGCATTCGAAAATTTTCATATATACTGCAGGTACAGCATCTTAAATAATGTTCACCAGTGGAATGTGATAACCAGTAGTGCACATATTTTCGTAAACACCGACATAGCGCGCTTAAGCACTGAATGCGGCTGTGACCAGTCTGACTCAGCCTCTCAAGCCTGACATTGCTTACATCTACTGCATCTCAAAATTGGTATAGACTCAATTCGCTACGATTAGAAAGCCTTACATTTAGGATTATCTAAATCTTAATCCTATGCAATAAAAGGCTTTTGTTTTTGTGCAAGTGTATGGCCACCTAATTGGCGTCCATACACCGCCGCCGCCTTCGCCGCCTTCATCTACATAATTCTAATTTGCTGCACTTGTTCGATTGTGTGACGCAACACTCGATCGGATATGCTCTCGAGTAGAAAAAGAACAAATCGAAGAGATTTGAACGGCGGTCGTACGGTCGTACCACTTGCCCGGCTGGCCGGTCCACTCGCTCGTATCGCCATCTCGCATATCGCGGTGGCTGATCGCCGCACCGGACCCGGATTTCTTCGTACACCCGCTGCGTTTATAAGCTGTCGCCTTGCACAAATCCAGTGGCACGCCAAATGTTATTTTTATCATTTGATAAGCAAGATATGGTACATATCGATACGTATTTGCCAAAGTAACGTAAGTCACCAAAAACGATTTCGGAGAAAAAACGTGTTTTTAATTTAACCTGGTTAAACTTTTTTAAATTGTGCAAAATTTACCAGGGTTCTTCTCTGAGGTCTATATTTAATTAAGAAAAATGATTTTTGAAGTTTTTCTATAGTTTAAGTGGTTAATTGATACTTACGTTATTATACGAAATCTCGAAGTCTTGATCAAAAATTTAACGTAAGTACACAGATACGTCAGTTTGGCGGCAAATTGTAGCACTTAAAGTATTTTGGAAAGAATTAAAAACTATCGTTTATTATTTAAAAAAACACAAAATAACGTTACAAAAGAAAATATGAAATTCTTACTAGTGAAAAATATATACTTTTTTAAGTTTTGGAGCTTTCATCTTCATTGTCATCCTCTGCATCAGTTTCTGCTAACTCATCTGGAAGAGAAGACTTACATTTTAATTTAATGAATTCATCCTGAAACCTGGCAGGTATGACATGTAATTAACTAACGGCTGAAAATACTCTTGTACATCGCATTCCTGTTCAAATTGAACACCCACTGTCCCATTTGAGCTATCAGTACTTATTGGTACATTTATTTCTTCTTGCATAGTATGGTTACCATCATTTTCATAAGGACTCGAATTGTTAGAAGACAACAAAATTGATTGATCTATTTCGATTACGTCTTCATTTACTAAAGTAGTTATTAAAATATTTTCGGAATTATCTAGATCAAAAATATTGTCACTTGAAATAATGGATATCGGCATAGACCCGATTTCTTCCTCAAAATAAACATTATTCGATTCATCATTTTGGCTAAGAGCCGCCAAAATCCTTTTTGTTCGTGAACTGACCATAGACATAATCTGAAAGTAACCGAGCATTTATGTTTACAATGTTTCATAGCTTCTATAAAAATTAGAATAGAAACAAATACAACAGTCTTTCTCTAACTCCAACCGATTCATTCCTGTAAATTTCTCACAGGCTTCGAGGTTATGACAGAATAACTTCTAATAAATAAACGAAATTAAATATGAAATGGGAGTTTTATAGGTAGGTACATAATATCAGTTAAGATTGTAATATTTTTGAATTCTAACTATAAACATATGTCGTTATTATTTACTTACCTAAAATCAATAATTAGTCGATGGTAGCACGAACCTAACACTGTCGTAAGCCAAACACTGACTG